GAAGTCGTTGCAGAAACGGAGGGTGCCGTCCTGCTTCGAAACCATCACGATTGGGCTTGACCACGGGCTGCGTGATGGTTCTATCACCCCCAACTTCAGAATTTGTTGGATCTCTTCCTCTATAGCTCGCCGACAAGCCTCAGGGACGCGGTAGGGCCGTTGCCTGACGACGACCCCCGGCGGCATCCGGATGTCGTGCTGCAGGACTCCGGTCTGCCCGGGATGCGAGGAAAACACATTGGCGAACTGACCGACCAGGTGCTGCAGCTCCCTCTTCTGGGCAGCCGAGAGGTGGGGGTTGACGTCAACCGGAGGGTGCCGTCCTGCTTCGGAACCATCACGATTGGGCTTGACCACGGGCTGCGTGATGGTTCTATCACCCCCAACTTCAGCATTTGTTGGATCTCTTCCTCTATAGCTCGCCGACAAGCCTCAGGGACGCGGTAGGGCCGTTGCCTGACGACAACCCCCGGCGGCATCCGGATGTCGTGCCGCAGGACCCCGGTCTGCCCGGGACGAGAGGAGAACACATCGGCGAACTGACCGACCAGGTGCTGCAGCTCCCTTTTCTGGGCAGCCGAGAGGGGGAGGTTGACGTCAACAACCACGGGGTCAGAGACGGCGAGGGCTGCGAGCTGGTCTCTAGTCCCCACCCACTTCTTCAGCAGGTTGATGTGGTAGAGCTGCTCGGCTCTCCTCCTCCCTGGCTGGCGCACACGGTACGTCACCGGCCCAATCCTTTCCAGCACCGTATAGGGACCCTGCCAGGTGGCCAGGAATTTGCAGGCAGCATTGGGGACTAAGACCATGACTCGGTCTCCGGGCTGAAACTCTCGTGGTTGGGCTGCCCGGTTATAGTGGCACTGTTGGGCCTGCTGTGCTTTCGTTAAGTGTTCCCGGACTAATGGCATGACCCGGTCGATCCTTTCCCTCATCTGTTTTACGTGCTCGATCACAGAGCGATGGGCTGCCGGCTGTTGCTCCCAGGCCTCCTTCGCCACATCCAGGAGGCCGCGGGGTTGCCGGCCAGCGGTCGCGGATCCGCTGGATGGTGTTCCCGGCCTCGAGATGCCCTGCCAAGGGATGTGAGTGGGCCAGCTCCAATATGGTCTCCGTTTTTGTGCGTGGCACCACCAGCAATAATTTTTCCTCCCCCCTTCACTGTGCGACACAGTAGAGCAGACCATTTTGGACGACGAAATGCGGGAGAGGGTGGGGACCAGGCTGGACCCAGGGACCTTGGTTACCCTCCGGGGAAACGGCGACGCTCGCTCCCCGGCATCCCGATGTTGGGCCGCATCCACCAGCTCGACAGCACAGATAGGGGATAACCCCAGGCGGGCTAGGATTTCCTTCTTGACCTCCTTATATTGATCGGCGGAGGCGGCGGGAAGAGCGAAGTATGCACGCTGCGCTTCGCCCGTCAACAGGGGAGCCAGCACCCGTGCCCAGTCATCCTTATGCCACCCTTCCAAGGTGGCCGTCACTTCGAACATTTGTAAGAAGGCTTCTACGTCATCATGAGGAGTCAGCTTGGGTAGCAGCTTCGCAGCTTGTACCCGGGGGTCCGGCAGCGGAACGCGTTGAGCGGCGGCAGCACGAAGGGCCGCGAGGTCCTGCTCTGTCTCCCCTTGACGGGTGGCGAGGTGCTCAACGATTTGTTGCTGGCGGATGCTAACCTCGGTGAGCCGCTGGAGGATTTCGTCCATGTTGGGGGAGGAGCGCTCGCCTGTGACAGAACCGGGAGACAAAAAAACAAGGAACAAAAGGTGAGGTGAAGAAGATCGCTTGTCGGTGATTCTTCACTGATTTGCC